ATAACAATCAAAAATAGCTCCAAAGTAGCTCAATGACCATATCTCAACTATCAAAATTCAAAATATGCAATACCTAAAATACATATACAGTCACTGTTATGTAAATTGAACATCACTATATCGTAGTGATGATCACACAGCTCAAAGGCTCTTACCAGTGGCCCTCTTTCACAAAACTTACACAGTTTTATCACTGGAATTATATAAAATATTTCAATACAAGCATTTAAGTCAAATATCATTTATGAAATATGTCAAATATTTAACCCACGGGGGAAAAACGGCAACAGTTTAAAAGTAGCACAATTCCACGGACTTGACAACCCTGCTTATTTCACCACAAATATTGCTGGGATTTTATCCCATAATACGTGTGGACGAACATAATGGTATGTTGCTGGCTTAAACAAACTTTTTTTTTATTCACAAAAATTGTTGTTTTCGGCCCTCATTTTGACTCTCTGTCTGTCTCTGAGAGTCAGAATTTTTTCAAGGAGGCGGCTCCTTTAAGTCTTGTCAGTAAAACACCAGTTATGATTGTCTAACATCATTCCATAGGAAAGAGTATCAACGCCCCTTCAACACTGCACATGAAAACATTATCTATAATATAATACCATCATTTGCAGACAAAGCATTGTAAAATTGTTTACCTACAGTTTATGTAGCTGCTGTCAGATCCAATACAGTTGGCATGCGTCATCTTTCACCAAAATGTTCCTTGCCAACTTTTCATTACACTGTGCCTCATTTCTAAAACAATCACCATTAAAAAAAAAAATCCACTTATTCTTGCTGCTGTGGATCTTCTGAAGGCATTACAGATTCTAACGTGCTGGTTAAAGCAAACATTCCTTTACTCTTCCATTTATCCTGTTGTCGGGAGTAGCTCAAGCATGTGGAGTATTCCAGAAATTGAATGGGCATCTGTATGTGGTATCCCGTGTAGAAAACGTCAGTGATAATGATAATGGGTTCTATTTGCTTTTGACATGATGCTTGTATCCGATGGAGACAGGTGTCAGGTGTTTAGACAATTTCCAAGTTCTGACAGTTGAAAACCCCACAGAAAATAAAAATGTCCTGACTACTTGAACAATAGCTTTAATTAAGATTTTCAGTCCCTGTTTTTTTCACTGTTAGCAGAAAGTACAAGTATTCTGTTTTTAGTTTATTCACTGATCTACATTTTGAGGGGTGCGAAAGAATGTGCTGAACTAAAGTAAGAAATAATGGACATGAGTCAGCATGGGCAGGAAGCAAGAATGTACTTGCATCCTGTTCTTGTGGACGACTGCAGTTGGCCATTAGTATTGACCTTTATTCTAAAGCATCTCATAGAGGGGACAACTTTAAAAGAACCTGCCACACAACCTTTCAAGCTGTCATACAGCAGAAGCGTAGGCAAGATGAAGAGGACAGTAGTTCAGAAGGCTTGACTCGATGGTGAATTTGCCCTTGACCTTTCAGACTATCCCGTTCTAGTCAGTTTGATAGAGAACTAAAGAGAGTTGGGGAAAGAGGACATAACAAATCAGTTTATCACACAGCTCAAAGGCTCTTACCAGTGGCCCTCTTTCACAAAACTTACACAGTTTTATCACTGGAATTATATAAAATATTTCAATACAAGCATTTAAGTCAAATATCATTTATGAAATATGTCAAATATTTAACCCACGGGGGAAAAACGGCAACAGTTTAAAAGTAGCACAATTCCACGGACTTGACAACCCTGCTTATTTCACCACAAATATTGCTGGGATTTTATCCCATAATACGTGTGGACGAACATAATGGTATGTTGCTGGCTTAAACGACTTGTGACACACCACTGCCTCTAGCCATGGGATTTCTACTTGCTGGTTTTAAAAATAATTAAAATACTTCCCAGGAAAAAAAAGGAAAGTGCCGGAAGCCAGTGGTAAGTCCCACAAAGCACACCTACGCAGACTTATCCTAACAGTTGCTCACATATATTGTACGTCACAAGGTTGAAGAAGTTAAAGAGCAAGGTATTGATTCTGTCAGTGCACATTTAGTTGACCTGAAATCAGGACTGGGTGGCTTATTTCTTTAAATGGTTTAAGCATGGGCAAATCTCTTTAGGATGGACTAACAAGAACTCTCATTTGGTACTTCCTCTCACAGACACAACAATATATTTGTTTTATATTGAAACATATTTTCTTTAATTCTGCTCATCTAATAGTGACATTTGCGGTTTCTGGCTTGGTATCATTTGAAACATCACATCACACAATATGCACATTCCTGTTACTGTTTTCTGTGGGAAAGTGCTTGTCAAGACATTAAATGAGAATCTAATTAAAATTGAGCTATCCAAATATGTAAATGTCAAAACCTTTAGGGGTTTTTAGGTTCCAATAGGCTCCAATAATAGGTTCCATGCTTTTTGTTACCACGGAAACATTTTATAGAAGGATTTTTTTGCTAATTGTATTTGTAAATGGCATTTGTTTTATGTGTTTAAGTTTTAATCAGTTTTCAGTGTTTACACATAAGGCAAGGCACAAGGGTTTTCATAACGAAGCAACGTAAGATGTGCGGAACGTGGGAGGATCACGGGCGCACATCTTAACCCAACTAATTAAGATGTGATTGGCCAACCTGCACAATTTTTGCAAACAATATAGCCTATACGTTTTTTTCTTGGTTGGCAGTCTTATGCAGCTTCTATCCGGCACGCTTGTGTTATCTATATCAGCAAGTTTTAATTGAGCTGTACACAAATTTGTCCCCAAAATATGTTTAAGTACACATACATGTATCATTAAAATAAGCCTAATTATTATTTTAAGACAGATTATGAAAAAAAGCACAGCCTGTAACACAGGCACAGTGACCAGGGTCCAGCTGCAAAAATTATACAGACACTTTGTTAAGACTGTGTCTTAAGAACTAGTTTAATCAACTAGCAGTTAGCCAAGTCTTGTAATAGCAGTTAGCCAAGTCTTCTGGCCTGTGCAGAAGCTGCTGGCATGTTATTATTATTTTAATGTTCAATGAGGTTCACTCACAATGTTTTATTTTTAACAAAACTTTTTTTTTATTCACAAAAATTGCTCTATGCCCCGCCTTTCTGAAACACGTACATTTTTACAAAGCTCATCGGTTTGAAAAGCGAGGTGTGCTCTGATTGGCCAGCTATCCAGTGCGTTGTGATTGGTCGAATAGCTCAAGCATGTGATGGAAATGATACACCCCTTACCATACTGTGATGCCTTGTCCCAGCCGGAGCGATGAGACAAAAACATTAAAACTCATTACAAACGAGGCATTTGTTGCATCCAGTGGAGACATAATTACGGATTATAATGCCTTATACTGTCTTTTTACACGTTGCTTTGCATCGTGCCGCATAAACATAAAACCATGTCTGCATTTGTGATCAGAGAAACGACAAACTACAAACGCTACTCTACACAGCTCAAAACTCGCATTTGAATCATCAGTGGCAAATTCTTTAAATATAAAAAACGTACTTACAGTCTGTGAGTCAGAACAGCCGGCATTGTAGTCTACTCTACCAGGATCAGGAAACAGTCCTCCATAAAATGCGTTGGACACATCGGAATATTTGAAGTGAAGTGTTCTGGAACAGTGTTGTAAATACAACTTAACCACTGATTTCTAGTCGTGTCCTCTTTTGGAAGGCCAAACAAAATAGTTTCGCTTTCACGACGAAACACAGCGTGACACACGGCGGGCTTGAGTGAGCGGGGGCCAGCGGCCTAGAGTGAGTGGAGGCCATCTTGAGTGAGCGGCGGCGGGCAGGCTTGCAGCCACCACATGTGGCGACCCCAGGCTGGACTCCGCTTTGTCCATGGTGAAAGCCGATCCGGCGATCCACAGCACGAAGTTGATGTATTTCCTCAGCAACCAGCACGGATTAGCTCCAGGCATGACGAAGCGGATATCGTCCTCTTTTGGAAGGCCAAACAAAGTAGTTTCACTTTCACAATGAAACACACAGCTCCTTCACGACATGGTGGCGGCGGCAACAACAATACTACAGCGAGAATAAGTTACGCCTTCTTTCTTTGCATGAACATTTGGGTGGCGTTATGCAAATCTTCCCACATAGTGACGTAGACTTGTGGGGGCGTGTTAGAACGAGCCGTTTTAGGTAGGCGTGGTTGACGCTTAACTTTTATAAAGAATATCTCTTTGGATTTGAGACTTTAGTCTTTGCAACTTTACAGATCTTCTTAATGCCATCGAAAGAAATTGTTCTTTTAACCTCAAAAATCAATTTAATGTTCCTTAGAACTCGTTCTCTTTGAAATACAAATCTTTTGTAAGTACAGTAGACCTAATCCCACGTATCTGTAATCAGATGAACATTTCAGTCACTTACATGCGTTTCATTACTATCATGCACCATTTAAGACTCTTTATTCTCAAAATGACAAGTTTAATTATTCCAGCTGCTGTAAGAAGAGGCTAAAAATGATCCACCACCTGCAGCATCCACAAACGCAAAATAGCCTACTAACCGGGAGTTTTTCTTTATGTATAGACATGACATAATGACGCAAAGACGAATGACCCGAACATTATTACAAGCTTATCGGACTTTGGATCATTTTTCAAAAAAGAAAGAAAACAAATTACGGTATGCGAATTTAAACAGCGATGTAACCCGATGCTGTTCAACACCAGACACACTTAGTTTCACTAAGGTTGATCAGGGACCAGTTTGTGCCCTTGTCAGTTTGGTTGGCTTTTATTCAAAGTTATTCACAGCAGTTATTAATCTCCCTCGGAGAAACCAATATGGACTTTTGACACTTGGCATTTTTATATAATTAGTTTAATTTTTTATTAAATAAATGAAGCCATAATCATTTAATCAGTTTTGAGAAGTTTACTCATTTAGTAAAAATTAAGCTATTCTGAAACATATACATTTCTATGCTTTCACTTCAAATAAATTTGCTTCGAAAGATTCATCACATTTTTTTATGTATTGTCAGTTTCAAAGCAGAGACAAATAACTTGCATAACATAGTCTCAGCTGTACATTTTAGTGCAAAATAGATATGTTCTCTTGTATGTGAACGAAAAACTCAGACATATGACTTTTTTACAGTATGTTTGATATTTTGCCGTCCTTCATTCTTTCTGTTGACATCGGCCATTCCTTTTTGTCTAGGATTTTCATTGGTGGACTTCTTGTAATTGCCTGTTTGCTGTAGGAGATTGCTGGCGTAAGAAACATCTCCTAGGCCTAAAAACATTTTTGTTAACTTGGGTTGGACTGCAAAACTTCACATACTGCCAACAAATTTCACAATTAAAAACAAAAGAATGTTGCTAAATAGCAAGAAAAAAAATACCTTGCTGTCGTTTGTAGGTTGTCTGTCCTCGTTTGACATCTGAGTGTTTTTGATGGATGGTGCTGGGTGGTGTTCCCCTGATCTCTAACTTCTCAAGCTGCACTTCACCTAAATTCATATTGAAAAAATGATCACAATTTGCTCATTTTTAGGCCTGTTTCACAGATCTACAGCATGAAAGCGGCACACACTGATTTTGGCACCCATATAAAAAAATGGAAAAACTCAATTGTGGTAACAGATGAATCACACAAAGTTCTCCATTTTCTAACAAAGATTACATCCATATTCTAGGCTGTATAACAGTTTTGCCTGAGTTTGGAGAACAGTTCTGTACCTGTAAAGTGAGAGACAGGGGTTTTCACTTTAGCTACTGGGGGTGTTGCAGGGTTTCCAGCACCACTGTTGAGTAGCTGGATCACGTTTAACGCTGGTCGCACAAGCCGGTTGTCTGAGATGCTCTTCAAAGCTGGATATCTGGAAGGGTTTTGTCTTGGTTTTTGTACGTGCTGTATTAAAAACAGATCAAATTAACCAGCCTCTTCGATAATATAAGTTGACATTTACAGTTTTTTCCCATCTTTTTACATAGACACATGTTTTCTCAGTTTAATTAGGTTATAATTTCTCATGCAACCCACTGTAAAAAACACAAAAGCACACCAAGGCCGCGTATTCACCAAAGCATTTTTAGCCATCTGAAAATGCCCAGCTGTGAGCACTTGAGAGCGCAGCGTTTTTTTCAGTTGAGACGCTGTGGTTGCTATGATATGGAATATCTGCTGAAGTAATATGGCAGATGCATCGAGAAGGACATTTTTTTCCAAGCATTATTTTTCATAACAGTATTATGGTAGTCTGGCTATTCCATCTGGTAAAGACATAAATACTCGCAGACAAGCAATATTCTCCATTGTTGTTCTGTCGTAGTACAAGCAGAGTGTGACGCTTGGTCGGTATTAGTCCCACTCCTTCCCCAATGTGATTGGTTAGCTGACTAAAAAGTGACAGTGATAAGGGCTGCATTTTACCCAAAATTGAACATTCTTCAACTCACAGAGAAAAAATGCCCAAGCACTCAGCATGAAAAAGACACTCAGTGCTCGGCACGCTCCTGGCATTTAAAACAATTAAAAAAATGTGCTAGCCTCGGGAAAAAAGGCTTTGGTGGACACATGGCCTAAAAGTGGTAGCTTGTTTGGGATTGGATTTTTTTTTAAATGTTTTTGAAAGAAGTCTCTTTTGCTCACCAATGCTGCATTTATTTAATACAAAATACAGCAAAACCGTAATATAGTGAATTTTTGTTATAATTTAAAATAATTGTTTGAATATATTTTAAAATGTTATTTATTCCTGTGATGGAAAAGCTGAATTTTCAGCATCATTACTCTTCAGTCTTCAGTGTCACATGATCCTTCAGAAATCATATTAATATGCTGATTTGGTGCTCAAGAAACATTTCAATGTTGAACACAGTTGTACTGCCTAATATTTTTGTGCAAACCATGATGCATTTTGCTTTCAGGATTCTTTGATATATAGAAAGTTGAAAAGAATAACATTTATTTGAACTATAATTTTTTTTGAAGCAATATAAATGTCTTTACTGTAACTTTTGATCAACTTAATGGATCCTTGCTGAATGACAGTATTAATTTCTTTTAAAAAAACAATACCAAATTGTGAACGGTAGTGTAAATATATAGCATATCCAAAATTCATTGAAACAACAGAGATGGAGGTACACCATAGATAGACTCATACCCTTTTGCTTGCTTCAAAAGATCTGGACCGTTTCTTGCGCTGGTGTCTCTCAGGCAGCTCCCTTCTCCCTTCTGTTGTCTTTAGGTTCTGTTTCGACTGGGACCTGCCTCCATGTCTTGGGGGATTTCTTTTGACCTCAGCCGACTCATCTGCCAAAGCAGAAACTACACTGTCCATGCTTACTGAGGACTTGAGCCCTGTGGCCAAAGCCAAACCGGCCACTCTGGAATTGGTCTCCTTTGCTAAGTGTGAGCGACGTTTCGCTGCAATTACTGAGATGCTCTTGGTGTCACTAACAATTTCCCTCAGAGTGTCTGGACTCACAGCTTCAGTAGGACAAACGGGAGTCGAATCCTTAACAGCACAAACCTGCTCAAAGACATTAAGCTACATTTCAGACTACATGCTATGCCATCTAAATCAATTATATATTTATTTCAACATAGATTAAGATCTGGGAATATAGTTACATCAAGTTGAGTTCATGTTTACCTGTTCGATTTCATTTACTGATACTTTCTGATGAATTTACTGATTATTTTATTCTGATAGTCAAAGGCGTTTCTTGCGCGAGTATCTGATATAAAGTAATTTGTTTACACTGTAAAAGATGAGATGATTCTGTCAGTTGGTATGGCTCAGTGTCTATGAGCGCTTCTGTGTTTTTACCTTTATTGAAAGTGTCGGGCTAGAAGATAAGTGGTGCCGTCTCTGTGGCTGAGGTTTAGACAACGGTTTGAAAACTCTGTTACTGTCACTATGATAAGGAAGATAGAAAATATAAACAAGATGAAAGCAAACTACTTCTGTTGTTATTCCAGATGACCATGGCAGTCTACTTTTCTCATTACATACTTTACCTGTCATAATCCAGCCCAGAGGAAGAAGAATCACGGGGGTGTTTATCTAAAGGACTGAACATCCTGTTGTTCTGCTGTGTTTTATATACCCCTTCTAAATCGTAGATCACATCAAGTCTCATTTGGCTAGCCATAATCATAAGAGAGTTATCCTGTATAAACAGAAATAAATAATTGACACACTACCGTTCAAAAGTTTGGGATAAGTAAAATTTCTGCTAAAAATAAATTACATGTTAAAGGGGTCATATGATGCGATTTCAATTTTTTCCTTTCTCTTTGGAGTGTTACAAGCTCTTGGTGCATAAAGAAAATCTGTAAAGTTGCAAAGACTAAAGTCTCAAATCCAAAGAGATATTCTTTATAAAAGTTAAGAGTCAACCACACCTACCTAAAACGGCTTGTTCTAACACGCCCCCACATGTCTACGTCACGATGTGGGAAGATTTGCATAACACCGCCCAAATGTTCACGCAAAGAAAGAAGACGTAACTTTTATTCTCGCTGTAGTATTGTTGCTGCCGCCGGCGCCATACCGTGAAGGTGCTGTATGTTTCGTTGTGAAAGCTAAACTACTTTGTTTGGCCTTCCAAAAGAGGACGATATCCGCTTCTTCATGCCTAGAGCTGATCCGTGCTGGTCGCTGAGGAAATACATCAACTTCGTGCTGTGGACAGCCCGGGGTTGTCACATGTGGTTGCCGCAAGTCCGCCGGACGCTCCTTTGTCGAATCCGCCAGCCACGCCGTTCTCAAGCCCGCCCGCCTCTGCTCACTCAAGCCGGCCTCCACATACTCTAGGCCGCGGCTCACTCTAGGCCGCCGCCGCTCACTCAAGGCCGCGGTGTGTGACTCACAGACTGCAAGTAAGTTTTTTATATTTAAAGCGTTTTTATATTTTATATATTTAAAGCAAGTTTTTTGGGCAGTGTAGAGTAGCACTTGTTGTTTGTCATTTCTCCGATCACAAATGCAGACATGGTTTTATGTTACGCTCCGGCCGGACAGGGCATCACAGTATGGTAAGGGGCATAACATTTCCGTCACAGTCTTGAGGTATTCGGCCAATCACAATGCACTGGATAGCTGGCCAATCAGAGCACACCTCGCTTTTCAGACCGATGAGCTTTGTAAAAATCGACTCGTTTCAGAAAAGCGGGGGATAGAGGAGAAACAATTATGTACAGTATGTGGAAAATAATGTGTTTTTTGAACCTTAAACCGCATAAACATTTCATTACACCAAATACACAAAATAATGTTCTTTTTAGCAACATCATATGACCCCTTTAAAGTATATTATAATAGAAATTAGTTATTTTAAATTGCAAAAATATTACAATTACGTTTACAACTTTGGGGTTTGTGGCAAAATTGTGAAGGTCGACAATTTGGTCGACGCTTCCATCACTTAATTCACTGCAGTACAGTGAATACAGCTCTTGTAACTCCTCAGGTACACAAAGTCCTTGATCTGTGGACAAAATGAATACAAAAATATTTTATCTAATGTTTATAACGTCAGATGCTATAATCTCTTTCTTTAAAGACATCAGCCCATTTCAGTGACCCACACCTTCAATTAGAGCCTTCTGCTGGTGTATGATGTCATCACAGAGCGTCCGCTGCTGCTCGTGGCGCTGGATGATGAAGTCTTTTGTTCTGAGAACGTATTCTTTGCAGAGAACAGCTGACTGGATTTCAGTTTTTTCAAGTTCTAGCTCATGAACCTTGCAAAGCAATGTCAGAATGTCTCTCTGCTCAAGGTTACTTGTGCGTTTAGGAAGCAACTCCTCAATCTTAGATGACTTTAGTTTCATGTTCATTAATTTTTCTTCCAGCTCACGCTGAAAAAAGGAAAGAAACCAATAGGGAAATAAATGTGCCTCTTGTTTAAGCTGACATCATAAAACAGCATGTTTAAAAATATGAGAATTTTATATGAAGTACTGCGGTCACTGCTTGTCATGTCATGTCAGATTTCCATTTGCATTCATAACTCATTTAAAATGAGTCTTAATTACTTAATGAACATAATTACTTTGAGCTCCATTGTCTTTCTCTGTTCAGCCAGTAGTGGGCCAATCTCCTCTCGAGCTGCTGTGACATACTGCGGCTCCTCTGGTCCACTCTCTTGCTCTTCCTCCTCTCTCTCTGTCTGTCTATCGCTGTCGGTTTTCTCTCCGGTTACTTTGTCTCTCCCTTGCCGGGCACGTGTTCGATCACGCTCCCAACTACCAGAGGAAGAAAAGAGAAAGAGGGTTGATGTGAGATAAAAATAAGAAAAAGTTATAATACTAATGTAGGAAAGGAGCCTATTTATAACAAGGAGTATAGTATTTTTGACTACATAAAAGTTTTAACATGGATAAAACCGTTTCTTTTCTTTCTTTTATCAATTGTCCTGCAAAATATCAAGTGGATTTTGGTATAATGTGTGATGGTGTAGATTTGTAATATTGTATGACGGAAATGATATAAGTTGGTAATAACATATTTGGAAGACAAGCACAAAATAAAAACACTCCGTCAAATGTTCCATTTTAACACTATTAAAATACAGAAAAATTAATTAAAGAGACACAATACCATTATAAAGGCATTAAAAATATATCTTTATAAAGGTTACTCTTTTTCAAACTAGGTGACAGAAAGGTTTCCCTAATCAGTGTTGTTTTAGTATAATTGAGATACTATTATAGATTTTACTTATATTTTGAAATAGTTTAAATTTTTTTTATCAAATGTATTGTCATTTTGTACTTTGTTAGTTTTTATTAGTTGTATATATATATATATATATATATATATATATATATATATATATATATATATATCAGTTAATGAGGTAGTTCACCCAAAGAATGAAAATTCTGTCATCATTTACTCATCCTCAAATTGTTCCAAACCTTACTTTCTTCTGTTGAACACAAAAGAAGATATTTTGAAGAATGTTGATAACTAAACAGTTGCCGGTAGCCACTGACTTCCATAGTATGGCAAAAAAAACTTTTTTTTAAGAGTTGCTTTACTAAAAAGAGTTACTTTACTAATTAATCATACAGGTTTGGGTGAATGAACAACATGAGGGTGAATAAATTATGACAAATTTTTTATTTTTGGGTGAACTATCCCTTTAACGTTATTTTTTTATGGTTTTAGTTTTAGATAACTATAATAACCCTGTCCCAAATTGAAGAATTACTGATGATTGGAACTCTGTCTGTATGTTTAAGTGTTTACTCTGAGATGGTGAGCAGATGTCTAGATGTGTCTATATGAAGTTCCATATTGCAGTTCTCCAGCTCCATGAGGCTGCGCCTGATCTCCATCTGCTCCCTGAAGGCAGACAAGAGCTGCTCCTGCAGTAAAGCCATCTCACCATGACTGTGCTGCTGCACCTCAGCTAAAAACAGCCCATACAGAGAAAGCAGATGGCAATCATAAAAAAATCTTTAATCTTTACATTTTTACTGCTATTTCAAGAAAGATTTTATATTATTGCTCATACTTGCAGTTAAAGATTTGAACACACTACTAAGTATTTAACTTTTGTGCGTAACTCAAGCAGTGAGTATATTTCAACCTAAAATCCTGATGTAAATAAAAAAGTTTATTTCAATATTATTTGTCAGCAACTGTACCCAAATACCAACATACAAATTGAACACAACCTTGAATTTCACGAATGTCTGCTTTCTCTCCTTTCTGTTGCTCTTGACTCTGTTGGTCAATCTTTGCATGAAGTCGGTCAATTTCACTCCGTAGATCAGCAATAATTGTTGTATATTGGGCCAGGTGATATGAAACATTCATCAAATTACGTTTCACCTAGAAGAATTTAAAACAGAATAGCAAGAGAGAATCTTGCCTGCATCTCAACACAATGAAATCACAAATACAACCACAATGGGGTGATCAGACACTGAAAATTAAGAGATCTCATTAACAACCCCTAATATTTATGGAGTACATATTTTCAAGTTCAACAAAATTATGAAAAATCTTTTCAATATAATTCTGAATCAATCATGTTAAACCTTAACAGAAAATAATTTATTAGTGGAATATACACTACCATTCCAAATTTTTTATTCATCAAAGAATCCTGAAGAAATATGTATCACGGTGTCCACACAAATGTTAAGCAGCACTTGTGTGTTCTAGAAAGTAAGAAGTGTTTCTTGAGCACAAAATCAGCACGAATGCTTTCTGAAGGATCATGTGACACTAAAGACTGGAGTAATGATGCTGAGAATTTAGTTTTGCCACAGGAATAAACTACATATTAAAATATATATAAAATTGATCACAGATATTTTCAATTGTAAAAATATACACAATATAACTTGGTGAGCAAAAGAGACTTTTGCAAAAGCATAAAAACTAATTAATTTTAATACTCATTTATTTTGTGTGATACTTCTTCAGTGTTTTTTTTTTTTTATATTAACGTCAGTAGTTTTACACTTTGCCTGGTAAATATCGGTAGTTTAAAATAATCATCTAATGCACATTGTTTAGACAAATACTATTAAGTATGTGTTTACCTTGGTTCTTATATTTTTGGCTTTGTCGGCATAAACCAGTGTGTTTCTTGACTCTTCAAAGTTGGAGCTGGCAGGACTGATATGGGTTATCATGACTGTGCGACTGTTTCCTCCTAAAGCATCCTGAAATTCACATCAAATCCTATTGCAACTGCGTGGCAACTGTAAAAACCAAGTCTTCTTAATGATCAAGGAGTTTGTGAATATTGTGTGGGACTTTTTTCTCGTTATTCTGAGTTTTTTATCTTAAACTTCACACTTTTATGTCTTTAAATTCTGAGAATTCAAAATATAAACATGCAATTCTGAGAAAAAAAAATCTAAATTATAGCTCACAATTTGGACTTTTCAGACTCAAGTTTGTTTCCATTACAGAATTAAAAAAATTAAAAACGTACTTGACTTTTTTTCCTCACAGTTGCGAGTTATATTTTGTAAATTCTGAGAATTGTGAGATAGAAAGTTACAATTACCTTTTTTTATTCCGTGGTGGAAACAAGCTTCCATAGATTTTGCTCACCTTAAGAAGTCGAGTGAGTTTGCTATCTCTGTAGTTGACAAACTGAGCTCCTTTCCCACCCTTCTCACTCAAGGCATTGATGCAGTTGGCCAGTGCTAACAGAGAACGGTTTATATGTGCTCCTTCCTTCATTCTCTTTCCTCTGTTTTGAGTCTGAGAAAAGAGAATATGTGCTTTAGAACAGGACATAAGACTGTCTGTTGGTGTTCACAGACAAAACAACTGTGTAAGAATGTCTGAATTTAATGAAGGGTGATGTTTTGGCTGCCATATGAGATGTAACATGCTCAAATTCCTTCATAGGTCTCACATTATATTCATATGAATAATGAAGTACAGAAGAGCTCAAATATTCATTTCGGTGAAAGACGAGGAAGGGTGCCGAACTATAAAATCTGGCCTCCCTGAAGAATTTCAGGGCTCAACGCTAAGGATTTTTACCTGCTCTGCTAAAATTTTAATTGGCCTTGCCACAAAAAAATAAAATAGCTGCTGTTATCATTGCTTTTGACCCATGTTATCTTTTATTCTTATAAATAAGCTTATATGACACCAACATTTTAGATATCAATTAATTTTTACAATTCTCGATTCTAATTTCTATACCACAGCAAAAATTACTTGCCTAACAAATATAAAATTCAAACATCATTAGAGACAAGTACAAAGTCAGTAAATAAGAACAAATTACAAGCAATAGCACAATTGAATATATAGAACAAAGACACAAATGAAATTATGCTTTAGGAAAAAGAGCAGACGGAATGAATGAGATGCAAATTCACTCTTTTACAGCAGGTAGTGCTTATGGAACAACAGCAATGTAGTGTTTCATTGGTTACCGCTGTAAACAAAGCAGCGCAGTGCAGCACTTATTAACACTACAAAGACGAGATGAAAAGAAAACGCCATGTAAGCTTGTCTGAAAACAGTTAGTTCCCCTAGTTAGAGATAAATTTATATAAACCCCCAATTCAATATTTAGGATTTTATTCCAATATTTTGCGCATGTGAACAGTGATCTTGCTCTGCTTGCTAACAGTATTTTCTCCTCTTTACATTCGTCTTCAGCGTCTCTGGCCTCTGTTTACAGACTTCGCAATATTTCCACACAAATGACATTCTGAAAAATTATTGCATGCTTGTGTGCAAGCCCGTAACAGAGATCGGTTGAAATAAAACTAAAATAGGCCAGTTGACCAGTGCATCTGTACTCCACTGTATAAATTAAATACAGATTAATCATTGTTAAAGCTACAAAGTTACTCACCAAGATGGGTATTTTGACATACTTTTGTATGTATTTGTCTGAATTTTTAAATTAACAAGGCTTAAAAACATGTGCAAATGATAAACTTTCGTGAAGACGCCGCAGTGGCCTGATCGGGCCAGTGACAAATTTGTCAACTGTCCCGAGCATCTTCATGCTGGCCCCGGGCCATCCTTTTTGTCGAGCCCTGAATTTGAAAGCTTATATTTCCAATTCAGCACATCAAAACACACAGCACGTACCTGTGATGCTCGCTCAGTTCCTGCCAAGTCTACCATGAATAGCTTCCCCACCCTGACCTCCTCGTTGATATCCTTTACACGACTCTTTTGCTTGACTGTCACCTGTGAAGCAGACAAAGCTCAGACTACAGTGTGCCAATTTGAGGTCATGTACATGGTTATCGGACAAGATCAAAATACGCCTCAGCTAGAGCCACGCTAGAATATACTGGTGACTTAACGTGAGTTAATCTTCTTGATGGCTGGTAATCTCATTCTGAGGCAGCAGGACTGTGCACTGGCCCCTGCGGAGGTCCTCAAGTCACCAGCGGGCTGTTGTTAACGGTGATAAACCCCCTAGAGGTGTCAAACAACCCATGCAGGGACTGGGTCAACCCATCCTCTCAGGAGTAGCTAAAAGAAAAATGTTTTGCCAGTCCAAACCATAGTCATCCTCATATTTACTTTGATATTTAGGAGTAAACAAGAGTGAAGGATTTCGAGGAAACTGTTACTGTTGCCATGGAGAGATGTACACACTCGTTCAGATAACAAGACAAGATTTTGCGCCTAAATGAGTCAACCTAACTAATATATTTGTGTCTTATTGCTGGCATGTACTCTCTTGGTTTATTGTATTTTATTCTGGGGCTTTTAAGCATTTACCTATTGCAGGGCTTCCCAAAACTCATACCACTGATCTATATTTATATGTTTAGTGTTATTTATCGGCATTTCAGAAAGCTTTTTGTATCCCCCCCAAATATATATCATTAGCAGTTTTTAACATAGATATGCATATGGTTTTAATCACTTTCATCACGATCTTGCTTTATTTTGCAATGCGGAAGCTATTTTCTCTGAATCTGCGACTTCCTATTCATAATGTGCAGTAAACTGTCAAACTATTTGCAGTACAAACCAGTATATGTATGATTATGATCATAAAATTAAATAATATGATAATAAAATATCAGGACTGTTTATGTACGTTACAGGTAAAATAGCGAAAGGATGTCACCGGAAGAGTCGCACATTCAAATTTCAAAATGGCCGCGCTGCTGTAAAACCAACTACTTTGTGAACTGTTAGAATCTAATACAATGAAATAGTACATAATGTAGTATTGGTTTGGTGTTTGGGGCGTAGAGGTGGGACTGACATGACCTCACTGTTTTTGCACAAAATAAAACACAATGTTAAAAAAATTTATTCATTAATAAAAAAATATATAGGCCCGGTTTCATAGACAGGGCTTAGCCTAAACCAGGATTAGGCCATTGTTCAATTAGGACATTTAAGTAATTTTTTATAAACATGCCTTAGAAAAAAACATTACTGGTGTGCATCCAAAACAAAGGCACTGGCATGTTTTAAGATCAGTCAGTGCAAGTTTCTTTCAGTTGAAACAGCTCAGATTGACATTTTAGTCTAGGACTAGGCTTAAACCTTGTCTGTGAAACCGGGGGATAGTGTTTTAACAAAATTAAACCACAGGAGAAACGTCAAGTCACTTACATTTACTAGGAGTAAACACACAATCTTGTATGTTTGTATGGAGGCTTTAAAACAATTTCAGTTTGTGGCAAATTCAAGTAAAATAAAACGAAGTCAATTAAACAAAATACAAAGAAAATTTGTATATCATTTTTTTTATGATGCTTGTGAAGACATCGTTTCTAAATTCGTAAATTATACTTGCCTATCAAATGTTGTAATGCTTTTACTGTGTTAAAATTCCATTATAATTTTAGAATTATCCTGTACAAGTGCAGCTTGGATTTGACATTATTCCTCCTGATACTGTCTGCAGCACATGCCAAGTCACGAGTGAGAATTCCATGATGTCTATAAGTATTTCCATTGGAATGACGGTGGGAAAAAAATTGCATTATGAAAAGGTTTCCCTATAAGGAATTTTGTGCACCAAATCAACATATTAGAATGATTTCTGGATCATGTGACACTGAAGACTGAAAATTAATCTTTGCCATCACAGGAAAAAATAACATTTTAAAACATTAAAATAGAAACTAGTTATTTTAAACTATAATAATTCACAATATTGCTGTTTTACTGTATTTTTGGTAAAATACATACAGCTTTGGTAAGCGTAAGACTTCTGTCAAAAACAAAAAAAAATATTACAAACCCCAAACTCTTGAACTCTATTTGCAATTTAAATATAATATAATATAATATTATATATATATATATATATATATATATATATATATATATATATATACAGTATATATATAAACTAACCTGCGCAGTCCTGCCAGTACCAGGAACTGACCTTGAGGACTCCAAAAGATACTGTTGGCCTGCTGCTTATCAAACATCTCTGGAAAACCAGAGAATATTCACACACAAACACACACACACACACACACAAAACTTTTTCTGAATACAAAATTCAACAGGATAATATTAGTAACATAAATTTACATAGTATTAAATGTACTAATCTAGATTTACATCTTTAAAAAACATGATTGGCACTTACTGATGAGATCAATCTTGCCATTGCTTTTGACGTGGTAAAATGAGGCATTTATTCTGGGTGATTCTCCATGTAGTACCGCAAACTTACTGCCATTGGGCTCCCAGGCAAATGCAATGATGCTCTCTAATAAAGATCAGATGTTCCATTTAGTTCAATATACTATTAAATGCTCTTTATGGCCTTTAAGAGAATTTAAGGTCTTGGTTACCTTTCATTTCTACCACATCAACAGGAACCTGTTTCTCTCTCATGCGGAAAATCTCAAAGTTGGTGACAACACCCTATTGAAGAGCAGAAAATAAATTGGGGAAATTTGAAGACCTTTGAAATTATTAGAGAACTTTCTACAAACACACACACACACACCTGTGTTCCTCTGGGTGTTCGGTCCACCTTCACACACAAGTAGTCACCCTGCCTTTGCCAATGAAGCTTGCAGTCCACCACGTTGAAAAGATTTCGCACCCGAATCTCTAAACGGGATGGGAACTGCATGAGCGTTACCCTGGCTGGAATGTCCTTGTCTTCCGGGACCCAAAAGGCAATAATGTTGTCTCCCGGTGACCAAGAAAAATCTCTATTGGACAGGAAAACATTTTTACGGTTGCATTTTACAAAAACCTGGCTTCCTGATAAAACTTAAAGATAGATCACTCTTATAGTTATCTTAAAGGAATTGATGAAACATTTTTTTTGAATCAGGGTTATTATAGTCACCTAAAACTGAACCTAAAACCATTAAAAAAACTGTTTTGTTAGTTGAAATAAAATAAACGTTAACTGAAATATAAAAATATAAATGTAATTTTATGTTATTCCAAAGCATAATTTCTCATTTTCATTTAGTTTACCTTGAAATACTAAAATAACTCAAATTGAAATAAAAATAAATATATAAAAACTATAAAGAAACATTTAATTAAAACAAATAATAATACAAATGGAAAAACATAAATCTACTAAAATTGAAATTAAATTAAAAACAGAAAATGTAAAATAAAAACTAATTCAAAATAATTTAAAAAGAATTATAATATTATCTCCATGATACTAAAATAACACTAGGATGAATTATGTGCCTTTAATAACTTTCTACAGTACTGCATAAATTTGGTAAGACTTACTTTATTCCACTTATTTTCAAACTCTTCTTATCTAGCAGACCCATTGACTGGAAGAAATTAACAAAGGCATTATTAAAAAAAGAGTAAATACAAGACCTGCATATTGAAGATAATGCTTTATCTTACCGGGGTTTCATAGATGCTCAGAGTGTCTTGTGTCATTCTGGCAAAGAACTTTCCATCTTGACTCCACCTGTGAGAGAAACAATTCAGAACTTCTTATTATCTTAATGAAAGGCTCATGAACATAGACAAACAAAGGGTAATTAAAACACTCACTTAAAAATAGGCCAGTGTGCCGAACTCTCACAATGGAAGCCACGTTTTTTCTGTCCGGTCAGGATGTCCCAGATGATGATGGCTTGAGGGTCCTCTTTAGTATCCATCAGTGGGCTGAAAGTCACCACATACCTGAACACATTTTGAATGTGTTATTCACATGAGTAACTCTGTAATAGCTGCTCTCGCTCTCTTTCTCAGGTGTTTACCTCTCGCATGGGGAGAAGTCAATGAGAGAGACACCCTGGTGGCTGAATCTCTGTATCTGCTTGAACTTCTCTCCACCCCACAATGCAATTCCTCGTTGGTGAAAGGTGGCCAGGTATGTCCCTTTGGGTGACCAGCGGACGTAAGTCTCTGTCCAGCGCTGGAGAAAGATACAACTCTGAGTTAGTAATGTAAGGATTATATCGCATTTATTTGCAAGGTACAATAACATGACAAGGTGTCTACAAGACACCAAAAAAATCAAACACACTATTAATCAGTAGGCCTGTATATATTGCTGTAAATTAAAGACTGTGGATGAGCAATTGAACATAACTATTCCACCAATAGACATCTAGATCTCTGGAGCAGATAGCAAATCTTTATTCTTTCAAGAAAACGTTTTGTTATTGTTAACTAAGACAAAAAAAGGTTTTGCTAACTTAAACTGAAATAAAATAAATATTACATAATAAAACTTGTTAAACTTTAAAAAAAAATTACTGAAACATTATTATTAAAACAAACTAAAATGAACAATGAAAACTGAAAACATTCCAATTCAAAATATTAATACTATAATTGCATATAAATAATATTAAAATAAAAGCATAAATACTGAAGCAAATCTAAATTAAATCTGTTATATATTGTATTAATTATTAAATAGTAAATAAAGAATACTAAAATAACCCTGAAGCCTGTTTGAAAGGAAATGTGCTCACAGCTCTCTCTTCAACCAGGATCGGCTCCTTCGGGTCATTTGAAAATATGGTAGTTCGCTCTCCCGATTCATAGATTACACTGTATTGATCACGACAGTCTGGATCCTCAAGCCAGTGCCTCATATTGCCCTAGTAAAAAGTGACAGAAAATTATATAATGCCATTGTTATTGGCTAAAAACAGAAAAAACTGAAAAAGCCAAACTCACACACCCATATTCCAATAATCTTGAAACATCTCATTCCTAGTGTTTTACGATACCAAACATTTAAGTATACAGACAATGCAGGCACAAATAAATCTTTAACATATAGAGATTTATCCCCCCCCCAATAACAGGAGCAGAACTACGTACAAAGTCTTTAAATGGCTGTTTTTCAGGGGTTTCCCACTGGTCACTGATATTCATATACCTGAAACAAAAAGATAAATGGTCCATAAGTTTTGAATCACTACTGAACCTCAATATTTGTAGAGTAAAAGAAATTTGTATTTTTTGCAGATCGCAATAAAACAGTCATAAACCAGTCATAACAAGTTATGTTCTGCTTCCAAACATATGAACCCCACTAAAAACATACTTATCAAAATCAGTGAACAGATTGACTCTGAATGTGTGCTGTTTGTCCAGCTTGTAACCATCTGCATTCTTAACAGCTTCCAGAGCATGGTTAGGGGATGCATACTCCAGAAAGATATACCTGAGAACATTTCGCATTTATCACTAAATCATGGTCTGTAAAAAAATCAGAATCATCACAATCAGATTTGATAGTTTTGATCGGATAAAATTAAAGTCAGTAACTTACCCTTTTGTCGTCCCAGCCTCTTCAGGGTAAAATTCATTAGTGATTTTTCCAAACTTGGAGAAGATTTTATGGATCACATTTTTCAGTTTCTCCAGACGTTCAGGGCCCACCTGAGGAACGTTGTCCACCAAGACCACCGAATCAATCCCATCAGCCTCCAAAGGTCTCTCCCTCAAAACATCCTCCAACAACTCTGCATAAAACCACACAAACTTCTCACTCACAACTTAGAAACTGGGCTGCTGGAAAACTGTTACTGTACATGTGCATTATTACATTTAATACCTGCTCTAAAAATTAAAATGTGAAGTTTTAAATAGATCCTACAAGTACAGTACAGAACTTTTATTTATTTGTTTTTACCTGATCTAGCCTTTTAATGTACCCAAATGAAGTGGATTCAGTCATTTTAAATATTTGTAACTTAATATACCCAGTTCATTTAAAAGTTTCCATATGAAGAACATTTTAGGTGAAACATTTTTCTACATTTTTACTGTTTTCATTAGTATCATATTAATAAAATTATCAAATTAACATGTGATTTGCCTTAATATACAAATTAATACAAATCTGTTCATCAATTTCAAATGCAATATTTGAATTTAATGAAAATAGTGGTCAAAGTTGCAAAGTTATAGTTTTATAACTGTACCTGGTATCCTGGCGGAAATTGTTACCATGGAAAATATTTGCAAGGCACGACACAAGCAAAAACGGAACTGAATAATTATATAAAATATGACAAATATGACAGAATGCACATGGCACGTTTGTCTGCTTGCTGTCAAATTAGCAGAATAGTCCTTCTATGCGCATAGAAATAAACTGTAACGCAAGATGTCATAATATTATTGCCCAGGAAAAAAAATGCATTGCCTTGAATTTGAGGTAAGTTAACCTTATAGCAGTTTTAGTTGTGATGTGCATGGTGACTGTCTTGCGTAGAGGCCGCGCGAATAGCGGATTTCACTGCAGCCTCTACCTTCATCATCGATGTCATCCACAAAATCCTCCGGATCGCTGAACGGAGGCTCCTCTTCTTCATCAAATTCCGATTCAGCCGCCATATTTACCGTATCTTGCATTTGACGAACTGGAATCGCTGAGTCTGAACGCAGTCTGTCTGTTTTTACTTACACAACCAGTAGAAATGCGTCAGATAATGTTGATGCTGGCTGCCTCCTGACTGCGCAGCCGCAGCTGGGAACTTTCAAAGCGTCCGCTGTAACCATGCGAGTGAGTGAGAGGCGGTTACGCTATTGAAGGACATTAAAATGCGCCGAATTTGCGCAATTAAAGCGAGAGGCGTCATCGCTCAGGATGTCGTTTTTTATGTCCTTTCCAGCACACCGTACGGAGCGACAGTACAGTAGGTGCAGCCAACTTTGATATCAAGCTGCTTTAAATGTGATAAATGAAAAGGTGTTTTTTTTCCTCATTATAGTTATGTTGAGAGTGTAGATGTTTTTACATTTGATTTTGAGTGTCTTGTTGTACAGTACAGTTGCAAACTCTTGAAAACGTTTGAATCATTTCTCCATACTTACGCACTCATCTGTCAAGGTAACTTATGTATTTGATATTTTATTGTTGCCACTTCCAGTTTGATTTGACCGAGCACTGCATTAAACCGTCTTGTCCTCTGTGGAGATCCGACAGGTGATCCAGGGACTTTGATATCATGGACAGTGACTGCTTATCTTTGCTACCAGAGGTCTGCCTGGTCCTGGCCGACCCCCAGCAGTCTCCACCCGATGACACCTCTTTAGAGAAGCTGCTTGATTGGTTCAAAGAGCTGCATATCCAAAGTGAGAGACCTGCAATCAAATGGATACATTTTTTGACTAGTTGAGAAGAGTTGGTAGAGTGATATATTGTATGTATTGTAGTACTTGTAGTGATTATGTAACTATTCTGTTTCTTCAGGTAATGGACAGGTGCTTTTGCAGCATCAGCCGTGTCTCTTGGAGTTTATTTCTAGTGTTTGTACGTCTAAAACTACAGATCCTGCTATCATTTCTTTCACCCTCAAACTCACTGGACTTCTGGCTGCCACCAAACAGGGCTTCCATTTGCTTGAGGTGAGACCGTTTCCACAATAGTTTTCACAACATCAGTGGCATATTTACATTACTGGCAGCATATATACTTACTTGCTCACTCTAATGTCTAGCACAGAGGTTCTCAACTTTTTTTACTTTAAGCCCCCCCAAAATCTAAGACAATTTTTGAAGTATTTGAGGGCCTTCTTAAGAAATTCTTGGTACTTCCACTGTAACAAATCTTTTTTTTTTTTTTTTTTGGAAACTAGGTGTTCAATAAACACAATTACAAATAATTCAAATTATTAAATTACATAATTCCTGTAGTTTCAATAACCTAAATGCATAAAAAAAACCTATATACATATAAATACATTCAATAACTTTATATATATACATACACACACAATAGGGCTGTCGAATTAAGTTATGGGGCAAAAAATAATGCAATTAAGTTTGGAATTTAGAGTATCATTTTATTACAAAATAATTTCATATTTACATAGTAATAAAAAAAATCCATATTAATAAAAAAAACTAATTAAAGGGATAGGGATCACCCCCCAAAAAATAAAATAAAAAAAATAAAGGAAGGAAAATGGAAAAACAAACAAAAAAATTAACATGACAATTTTTTTTCTAAAGCTAGTTTTTGTAATATCTACTTCATCCTTTTCTCATGTAACACAACAATGGCTTTAAATGATCTTTTGTGGGTAATTTCTCAGCCACATTTGATGTGTGATTTAATATGTGTTTAATTAGATTAATTAATGGATGAATTGTGTAATTAATTATATTAAAACTTTTTATCGATTGACAGCTCTTATATAGTATTACTATTACTATT